CCCCCTCGCAATTGGGGCTGCTCCTGTCAGCACCCTCTGCCCCATGTTTATGGCTGCCAAGGGCTGGCAGAAGGAGCAGGGCAGCCGGCTTCTACTCCCAGCCTCACCCCTCATGCACAGAAGCAGAGCTGGAGCAGGCCTCTGCCCTTAACAGGTGATGCAGTACCTGGTAAGCATCGCCCATTAAGGGTTAACCCATTACCCTTTCACATCCCTACTAGGAATCGGAAGCTGCCTTCTGAATCTGCAGGTTCAGAAGAGTTGTTGTCTTATGCCGAGTTCCACAATAACGTTTGCCCATGGAAAGTCATGAGTATAATTTTGTTGTGTCAGAACGTAGGGTGTTCAGCTTGGAGTGAATGAGAGATTCTTCTCTTAAACATCTCACAGTGGGATTCCAGGAAGTTGTGTTGTCAGGGCTGTTCCCACTCTGGCATTTGGAGAGCAGAAGGTGAGGGCCTACAAGAGACTTTAAAAATACCCTGCCTCTATATGCTTCTGCTTAAAAACTCCCCGAGGTGACAGGTTGCCTGACCTTGGGCGGTATGCTAATTCTAGTTCTAAAGTTTCAGAGGGGTAGCTGTGTTACTCTGTAATAGAAGAGAAGTTTAAAACAATGAATAGTCCTGAAACACCTTAGAGACTAACAAAAATATGGATGGTGTCATGAGCTTTCGTGGGCACAACCCATTTCTTCAGATGACTGGAGTTTAGGGGTTGAGCAATATATAGTATAATGGAATATCACTGCCCACTCTCTTAAAATAGTAAAGGGACCGAAACAGTGAATGAATTGGGAAGTATATCAGGCCACTCCAGTTTGTCCTCTGGCCTTGTATTGCGTGAAAGGTCTTTCAGTGAAGTGGAAAGGCAGGCATCAAATTTAACAGAGAAAAAACCAAAACTTTACATAATGCAAATTTAACCTGCAAAGTTCATACCTTCTCATGAACTGAACAATCATATGGATAAAGAAGAATATCCGTGTTTACTTGGCAGGGAGGGGAAGTGTAAGGTTTATAAACCCTCCTGTTTCAGGCTGTCGTTTCTCTTATAAGCAGGTTATTACATAATTGTTGAGACCTCTGAAGCATCTTGCACTTGCCAGTATGAGAGGTTGGATACTGAGCTAGATGGATCATGGACAATCCTCTACAGCAGTCCACTTTTGACTGTGGTTTCATGTTAGCTTAAGTACTACAAATGGAGGACTGGTGGGGTGTGGTGGTTTTTAAGTGGCAATCAGTAAACAATTACCAGGAACTTTTAAACCCTAGGTTCTAATAATTGATCTGACCAAAATTAATTTTTTAAGTAGATTATTTTGCCAATGCATCTAATATTTCTTTGTAAGACTGATTACAGTTTGACAGCCATTTCCCCTGTCTTTATTCTTCGTCTTTCATACTGATCCTGATGTAACTGAACTAGTCAAATCCAAAACTATCTCTTCATTTATGCGAACATTCAGAGTGCTCAGTGGGACTCCCAGCTTCATTTGACAAATACAATTTTTCCTGATCTTTTACTGGGATACTTTAAAATGCTTTCATCATCAGAAATGAGTTCTATTGCCTTGCCATGTCTGTCTTTAATTTAGACAGTAGTCTCTCATTATTTTCAAGGAATGTGACTTTATGGATCACTCTTATCTTTAGAAAAAGAAGTATTACCGGTGAGTCACTTCATTCTGCTTTTAGATTAGAGGTAGAGCCAAATAAGGAACCAGTTCTGTTATTTATGTATGATTCAGGTGAACTATTTATACTCAAGCCACATACTGGACATTTATTTTAGTTTAAAACAGAAAAGGAAACTGAATCATATTTCTGATGACCTGTGCCAGAGGCCATCTGTGATTTAGGAGTGTGTCTCCACAGATTTTTTTCCTTTATGCAAACCAACATAAAGGGACAGTAAATAAAACTATTTTTCCTGGGAATCTCAGACAACCAACATTTTCATCTAGTTTTTGACCTATTTAGATTTAGACTCTTAGAATTCTAACCTTTTTTTAAAATAATCAAATTGCAGAATGGATTTTTTAAAAGTTTTTTTTATCATTCTTTCCCAGAGTTAGTTCATTTAATGGAACACACTAAAGGTACCACTATTAGGTAAAAGTCTAGCAGCATAACAAGTGTGTCTGATACCTTGTGCTGATGTATTTACATTTATAATTGACTGGTATTGAAAGTTCTTGTTAATTACAAAGGGAACGTCTCATTTCCAATAGAATAAATGTTCCATTAATACTTGATTAATGAATTTGCATGGTAGAGCAAAAAAAATTGAGAAAATTAATGACAATAGATTTCAAATGTTGGTAATGGTATAATAATGCTTTAGGCACTCCCTTAGACAAGAGTATTTGAGACCTCGTAAAGGATATTTGTTACTTCTGAAGTTCTTTATGCTTTGTATTTCTTTCAGACTGCAAACACAACCACCTTGAGCTACTTAGTGACTGGTTTAAAGCCAAACACCTTGTATGAGTTCTCTGTGATGGTGACGAAAGGTCGAAGATCAAGTACTTGGAGTATGACAGCGCATGGAACTACCTTTGAATTAGGTACTCACTTGTCTTTCTGGAACTGTTTACTGTTTTAACGAGATGAATGACCCCCCCCCCCAGTCTGGTTTAAAGCCAAACACCTTGTATGAGTTCTCTGTGATGGTGACGAAAGGTCGAAGATCAAGTACTTGGAGTATGACAGCGCATGGAACTACCTTTGAATTAGGTACTCACTTGTCTTTCTGGAACTGTTTACTGTTTTAACGAGATGAATGACCCCCCCCCCAGTGCAGGTTCTTTGCATAGACTAAAAATGGCAGCCTTCTGCTTTGCTGATGTGAAATGGGGACAGTCCTGATATTAATATTCTTTGAAATTTAATGAAAGGGAGATTTGTGTCAAATTACATAAAATAAATGGATGAAATGATCCACTTTAGCTTTTTTAGAATCATAGACCCATCAAGTCAAAAGGGCCTGCAAGGGTCACCTAGTCTTGATCATCTGCCACCATATAGATTTGATGAGTTAGGTCAGGCAGGACAGCTGGCTGATAGCCTCTCTGTGAAAACCTAAAAACAGGACTATGTAGCACTTTAAAGACTAACAAGATGGTTTATTAGGTGATGAGCTTTTGTGAGCCAGACCCACTTCCTCAGATCAAATAGTGGAAGAAAATAGTCACAACCATATATAGCAAAGGATACAATTTAAAAAAATGAACACATATGAAAAGGGCAAATCAAATTTCGGAACAGAAGGGAGATGGGGGGGGAGGTAAATGTCTGGGAGCTAATGATATTAGAGGTGATAATTGGGGAAGCTATCTTTGTAATGGGTAAGATAATTAGAGTCTTTATTCAAACTTAGGCGTAAAGTGTCGAATTTAAGCATGAACGACAGTTCAGAGGATTCTCTTTCAAGTGTAGTCTTAAAAGGCCTTTGAAGCAGGATGCAGGTAATCAAGTCGTTGAGACAATGTCCTTTCTGGTTGAAATGGCAAGAAACTGTTTTTTCTTTGTGATCCTGTCTAATATCTGTTTTGTGGGGATTGATCCTTTGGCGAAGTGTTGGAGACGTTTGTCCAATGTACTGATAGCAGATGGACACTTTCAGCACATGATAGCATAAATTATATTTCTGGATGCGCAGGAATATGTGTTCTTGATCTTATAACTCACTTGGTTAGGTCCAATAATGGTATCAGCAGAGTGAATATGTGGACAAAGCTGGCAACGGCATTTGTTGCAAGGGACGGTACTAGGTTTTCTATTGAAAACCTAGGCATGTTTAGTCGTCCTACTATTCATAGCTAGGAAGTTTTTCCTGAGACTTAATCTAAATTTGCTGTTCTTACTCTTACTCTGTTTACTTTTTTGTTTATTTTAATTGTAAATACAGACAAGCCAGTCTAAATAGCTTTGAGGCCTTGACATCTATTAAAATAGTGCATTAAAAATACGTAAAAATGAAGCACCCAAAGAACCAGTTGATCCAGTGCAGTATTATAAAGAGTGAAACCAATCATTTGCTTTAGATTTAAAATAAAAATGTAAACAATATGCAAGTTGCTTTAGAAAATGTTGAAAAAACTGAAACTAATAGACTTGCAACACCATAGGGACTAACAAACCATGTAGATGGTGTCATAAGCTTTCATGGGCACAACCTGCTTCTTCAGATAATGGAGTTCAGAGTTCCAAGTCGGCTATTTATTTTGTAACCTGGAACCCTTAACTCCATTCATCTGAAGAAGTGGGTTGTGCCCACAAAAGCTCATGACACAATCTCCATGTTTTGTTAGTCTCTAAGGTGCTGCAGGACTATTTGGGGTTTTTTAAAGTTTTTTCAGTAACAGACTAGCATGGCTCCCCCTCCGAAACTTTAGAAAATGTTGCTCTTTCTCTGCGGGTGTAGATTTAATGTATCGTTGTTTTAGACGTTTTAGCACTTGGTCTTGTTAACAGGATGATATGTTGTGAGGCCCAAAGCCAGAGCACCTGATCACTTGGTTTTTAATGCAACATCATCTGTCCTTGGGTTTATGGAGAAAAACTTGGTAGCATGACCGTAGTGCTCCAAACTGCTCAAAAACCAGAAGACAAATAAAAAGGATTTGTAATGTAACCTTTTTTTAAATTTCATGATTTAGCGGAGAGGGATAGCTCAGTAGTTGAGCATTGGCCTGCTAAATCCAGGGTTGAGAGTTCAATCCTTGAGGGGGCCTGTGACGGGGATGCTAGCCCCACCCCCTTCAGCCCTGGGTGAAGGGGGCCTGGTCCTTCAAATGCAGGCCCCGTGGCCTAGTCCTTCAAACGCTGGCCCACCGGCCTAGTCCTTCACAAGATCCCCTCTTCGTCCAGGATCTGGGAGGAAGGGTTTGGGGAGCCCCAACCCAGGGCCCTACCCGTGGTGGGTGGTTCCCACCACTGGCACAGTGGGGAGTTCTCCCCGAAACGCGTCGAGCCCAGGAGCTTTTCCTGCTCCCCTGGATTGCTTCCTACCCCTGGCTGGCAGTGGTCCCACCTGGATATATTGGTGTGGTGGCAGCTACAGTGTTAGCAGGTGTGGCGTTGGGGTCAGCAGTGGCTGGTGCAGCGATGGCGTCTGGGTGGCTGTATGGCGTAGCCAGCGTTGCAGCCGGGCTCGGCCCAGGGCTAGTAGCGGTGCGGGCAGCTGGTCCGGCATCTCTTGCTTTGGCTGCCACGGCCATGGCTCCAGTGCTCGGGCAGTAGATCCTTCCCCTCCGGAGGTGAGTCTCAACTGAGCAGCTCTGCAGCCTTTTATATCTGGGCTGCACTGGGAGCATGCCCAGCAGGGCTGCAGGGGAGGGGCGTATTCTACCCAATAGGCATGCTCCCCTTCCCCTTGTCTAGTGCGGGGTTGGCAAGCCCCATCACAGGGCCATTTAGGGATCTGGGGCAAATCTGTTAGGGATGGTACTTGGTCCTCCTGTGAGGGCAGGGGACTGGACTCAATGACCTATCAAGGTCCCTTCCAGTTCTAGGAGATGGTATATGGCCATATATATTAATAATATATAAACCAGTGTCCTGATTTTAAGTGCCTGATGATTTTTGTTCAGTGGGATTGGCAATGCTGCATAGGGCTTATTCCTCAACTAATACTAAATAAAGATTTATTCTTTGAGTGGTGTCTCTATGGATGCTTACATCCCTCCACTGGTGATCAAAGAACTTTGATAGCAGTGTCTGTTAGAACTGCACATGCACTCTCTTGGTTTGTATGCTCTCTCTCCAGATAGCGCTAGCTAACCCCCATCAGTTCCTTATCAATTGCCCCACCAAGAGGGAGCCTTTCCAATCCATTAAGACTATTGCTTATTTTACATAAAAGTCGGGAACCCGTTGTGACCAATTTAAGGGCAGTATCCAGAAGAGCTAATTAGAGGCAAAGACATTGTTGCAGTCTGCCCTCAACGTGGTCAACACAGCAGGTTGGTCCATCTCCACAGCTGTGGTGGTGCAGCAAGTGTCATGGCTCCATTTATCATGATTGCCACTATTGAGGGCCTTCCTATTGAGGACACGAAGCTCTTTGCCAAGAAGACTGAAATTCCCTAACCACAATCCGTCCACAATCTTCATCTTAGCCCTTTAACATTTAAGTACTACTTCTGACAAGCAGGTAAAGGTGCTATTAGATCACTCCCCTTGAGTGATACGGCTGACCATCATTCCATGCCCATTTGGCTGCTGAGTGGCAGTGTTCCACAGTGCCTGGGAACATATAAGATCAGTGAGTTCTAGAGATTGTTCAACTATTGTGGGGGTAAGCCTTCTGTAACACCTTTCACCTTCCCTCTTCAGGGACCCTACTCATGAGAGGTCACTGCAATAAGAAGTTGATTCTCCCCTAAAAGTAATGAGCCAAAGAACCAGTACCTCAATATCTACAAGGCAAGGGGTTCTACTCTTGTTATTTTCTAATGGTCAAAAAAGGAGGTTGGAGACCTATAATAGATCTCAGAGTTCTCTCAAAGATTAAAATATTCAAGATGATCAGCTTATCAATGATTATTCTAACTTTGGAACAGGGAAACTGGTCTTCGACCCTGGACCTTCAGGATGCTTGATTTTCATGTCGCAATCCTACCAATTGATAGTTGATATCTCAGATTCACTCTGGGATACAACCGCAACCAAGACAGAGTGCTCCCTTTCAGGCTGTCATTGGCCCCAAGAGTATTCTCCAGGGTTCTCTCAATGATGGCTGCTCATCTACGTTCCCAAGGGATAGTGATCTACCCCTACTAAGACCATTGTCTCTGAGAAGCTCACCGAGTCACTGAAGCGCCAGTGCACTTATTTACAGAATTGGGCTCACAGATCAACACCCAGAAGTCAATCCTCACTCCAGTGCAACACCTGGAATTCATAGGGGCCGACCTTGGCTAGTTACAGGCCCAAGCGCCTTTCCTCAACACTGGTTCATATCCATAGTCACGCTCATGGACGCCATTCGAAGCAGCCCACAGATACCAGTCAGGCTCCGCCTCCAACTCTTGGGACATATGGCAGAGGGAATGGTGGTGATACCACAGCCGATGCCTTGATGTGTGATTCAGCTTGGTTCATAGTCCAAACAAGGACAGGCGCAACAAATCCCTGTCACTGCCCACAAGGATCAAAAACTGCCCAGACTGCTGGAAGGACCCCGCCAGCATTGGCAAGGGGATCCCTTCTCATACACACTGCCATTGCTGCTGTTCACCACTTACACCTCACAATGCAAGGCACATGGTCCCCCTCGGAGCTCTCTGTTCACGTCTCCTCAAGCTAACAGCAGTCAGGGTTGGCTGTGCTCTCCTCCTGTCCCTCACAGCATCACACACCAAGACCCTAACAGACAACATGGCGTGTGTGTACTAAATCGGCTGGCAAGGGGGAGCCAAGTTACTCTTTCTATGCATAGAACCCGTGAGGCTGTGCAATTGGCAAATCTCCCACAGGATTTCACCTCAGCAGCTTCCCTCCCAGGTGCACAAAACTTGATTGTGGATGCTCTCCATTGCAAATTCTCACAGAAGCGTGAGTTGAGAGGTACACCAACAGTAACTATAGTGTATCTCCCATCATCCCCTATGTTAGGTTACTAAGTATTATTATTATTCCAACTCTAGTACTACAGTACTTAGTAACCTACACAGGGGATGATGGGAGGATTAATCACCAGTAGGTTACATACACAAAATGTTTAAAACATGAAAATCACTATGAAAACACTAACCAGTGTTGTTACTGAATTCAGCTTCTGTGGCAGATGTAGTTTGCTAAAAATTACATAATTAGGCGTCTGTTTTTCATAGTTATATAGTTCCAAGGCATAGTTGTTTGTTTATTGAACCTTGGAGACACCAGCTCTGTGCATTTCATTGCCATTAATCTGAGCCCCAGCTGGGTATTTCAGTTCACAGTCAGATTGATTCTCTTACATAAGCCTTTTACTGGGGTAAGAGACCTGTATCATTTCCTCATGTTTGTGCATCAGGGATGAATGGTGGGGAAGACTTCTGCCTCAAGCTACTAAAAAGAAAAAAGGGGCCATGTGTTCATGTTTCCAGAGTTCGACTAAACCTCGGTTAGCAGAGCGCAAGAAACATCTCTGTGGACGCAGACATCCAGAAACCTGTAGTTAAAGTTAAAGGTCTCTGAGAGATTCCAGTTGTGAACCGCTGGGAGTTTATTCTGGTGTTTCAAATGTATTCGTGGTGGAAACTTGCTGTTGCAAGATTTCAGCCCCGAGCAAACACTTTGTGTACAGAGAAATTTTGTGTACATAAAAAGCAAACTGTGGAATGGTGTCTTTGCAAATTGATGAGATTTCAGGAATGTTAAGCTATTGTGAATTATAAGTTGGTACTTTAGACTAATAGCTTTGCTTCTATAAATATATTCTCTTAAAAAAAGACAAATATTGAAGATACGTGTTATTCATCCATTCATGATTCATGGCATCTATTGATGGACCATAATAATAGATAGCTCCTTAAGGAAAGGAAATATTATGCATCAGATGGCATCGGCCTATTTAATAGAGTAAATCATTAAAACTGTAACTCTAGAAGAGTAGATTTACCTTGAGATGAAACATACTGGGTTTCTGTTGCTGACACCCATACTTCTGCAGCAAAGCAAGGTAAAAAGGATGGTGCTGAGATCATTTACATGCTTTCTTACATGCATCTAATGACATTTATTTTTTGCAGTTCCTACATCTCCCCCAAAGGATGTGACTGTCGTGAGCAAAGAGGGGAAACCTAGAACCATCATTGTAAACTGGCAGCCTCCGTCTGAAGCCAATGGCAAAATTACAGGTGCAGTTTGTGCTCTCAGGAGTGATCCTGTGTCCTTACTTTTGGTAGATTGAGCTTGGAAGGGTAGATGGAAGATACCTAATCAACAGCAGATTAGATACCATATGTAATTTCCCAGACTCCTGTAATGTATGCTCTTTGTTAATCACACATCCTCCCAGGATGTTTATCTTCTTTATAAATTTTCTCATGTAGTTCAAATTAGCTGTTTACTTTTACATCTGCTGGAAATTACTTCAGAGCTACATTTATTTGTTCTACTTAAGTTTTCAGCCCACTGCTCTGCTCTTTAGAAGAAAGCATTGGCGTTGCTGATCTTCATATGAAGTATACAGGCAGTCCCCGGGTTACGTACAAGATAGGGACTGTAGGTTTGTTCTTAAGTTGAATCTGTATGTAAGTCGGAACTGGCGTCCAGATTCAGCCGCTGCTGAAACTGATGAGTTTCAACAGCGGCTGAATCTGTATGCCAGTTCTGACTTACATACAGATTCAACTTAAGAACAAACCTACAGTCCCTATCTTGTACGTAACCCGAGGACTGCCTGTATC